GCTAACCTCATACGTATGTACTCTATCTAATATTTATAGCTCGTAGTTTTCAAACGCTTAGAGTTGGGGGTCTTTTGGTTTAGAATGCTGATTGTTTAACTGTATAGATTCGAGACAACTAATTTTCCATGTATGGTTTTTGTTTTGTTTTTTTGTTACAAAAATCTGTCTTCAAGAAAATTTGAATTTCCTTTGAACGCGCGCAGTGTATATCGACCAACGTGCATGTTCAATTCTATTAGAATTTTGCAACAAATATAGCATATAAAGATAATTAATTAACCGTAAAAAAATACCATTATTTTCGGCTCCATGAATAATAATGTTGGTAAACAAAAATATCTCTGGAATTAATTTGAATAGTTAATTTCGTGTTGGGTACAATTTTAATATTATAGACTTTGACTTTAATTGAATTTCACCTAAGATTGAAGGATTGTGAAATGGAATGTTATCGAACAATCCAAATCTGCAATAGAAACTATTTGCTAAATGAGTCTCAACTTAAATAAAAAAAAAATAAAAAATAAAAAAAAAAAAAAAAAGGAGTCTCAACTTAAATGGGATAGCTTAGCGGTCTTTTTTCAATAAAATAAAAATTAAAAATATGCTACAAAAAGGCAATGCGTTACAAGATAAATATTTGTTTATGAAAAGAATCTATAAATGACTCGTGTTTTGGAAAGGGTTTAGGTGTTTGATCATTCTTGGGGTAGCAAAAACCAAGAAAAAAAAATAGAGTTGCATTTATTCAATGTAGGTTTAGTTTAAAATTACATTTAGGTACATAAATTTTATGGGACTATTTGATTAATAAAGGGTAATGGATACGCTATTGTATATTCAAAGAATTAAACATAATTTTCGCGAAAAGTTTTTCTCAATTTTTTTTTACTTTTACAAAGATAATTAAATTACATAGAATCAGTTGATTTAATAGTATGATCCATTATAAATCGATAGTTAAGAATAAGGAAAATTGAAATCACCAACGTTTGTCATCTTATTATACTGATTTTTCTCTTTAAGAGATTTTAAAGAAATACAACTAACTAAACAATCACATATCGCGTGCTTCAGCTCATCATGGATTTATCTCTATGTTTGATTTGATGACAAAATATTTTGACTTATCTGTTCCTTTATGAAACTGACCAGTTTATGCCAGAAAAATGACAATTGACTGATAGCAGTTTAATAAATTAAATAATTTTTAAAATCTAAAATAATCTCAATGTCATAATTTTTCACATATGTCTTACGTGATATACGCTTGTAATATTTACTCCTTTACTTTTCAAATTAACTCTCAATATTCTTCTTTTACTTTAATGAATTGACTATTATACTGTATACATATTATGCGGTTAAAATTATTTTCTAGAATATATATGCAGTTAAAAGTTATATATTTTAGGTACACATTTCATAATATTTGAAGCAAGATATAATTCGTGCAAAGCACGAACGTAGAGACTAGTTCTTAAGAAAAAACACATATTAGTTAAAGCTTAATAAGTTGGATGGATTGGGCTATGACCCGAATTTTTGTCCATCTTAACCCAGCCCAAGTAATGACGCGCTCATATATTGATTCAACCCATTTTACCCCACCCAAAATCAGTCAACCCTCCTATTTGACACCACTAATTTTTACGTACATTGTTATTATTTATCCATAGTTAATTAGTTCACGTTTTCTTTTTAACTAACCATGATACAGTTAAGGGTATATAATTTGATGTAAGCACTTAGGTGAAATACTATTTCTGATTTAAAGTCCCATATTTGTTTTTATCTTCTAGACTTCATTTTTGCTTAGCAAATAAGAATGCGTACCTTAGTAAACGGAATGTGAAATTTGATGTGTTACTGTGATCTTAATTACAACATAGTTAACCAAGAATTGACTGTAATATATCTTGAACATAAATTAAATGAAATAAAGATCAATCAGTACCAAGAACATCTTTAAAAATGTATATGTAAACCAATTTTAGATATGTCGGCTCTTAATCGACGATCAATAATTGACCTATAATTTAGTGAATTTCTGATGCGAACCTTAGAGCCAGAGCGTATCTAGCGTATAAATTATGGGTTCAACTAAATCCATAACTTTCGCTCATACCCTATATTTTTACTCCAAAAATTATGAAATATGTACAAATAATAAATTTTGAACCAATTAAATGAGATGTGATAGAATTGTGAATTTGAATTTAAAAATTTAAATTATGGATATGTCTCTGCTTAGAGCTTAGAATAACCATACACCAAAAGCTAGCAATAGATGTGAGTTGCATTAAGCCCCATACTTCAATTGTGAGATCCAAACATACATTCCAATTAGGATCATAATAACCCACAATTTTAGATGGCTCTGATACCAATTGATATTTAAGAGAACCACACCAAAAACCTCACCATTGAGATAAGAGAGCCAAAGCTATATAAACCTTATATTGTAATCCTATATTTTAGATGTTGGATCAAATTTTCAACTTGCAACTAATTTATCTATATATAATAGGAGAGGCAAAACAAGGATAGGATGACAAGTGTCATCATCAGAAAAATCTCACTTTTAAAAAACAAAATAAATACTTAGCAAAATTGAAGGATAAGATGACATTGTCATCACCGGAAAAATCTATCTATATATAATAGGAGGGGCACAATAAGGATATGATGACAAGTGTCATCACCAGAAAAATCTCACTTTTAAAAAGCAAACTAAATACTTAGCAAAATTCAAGGATAAGATGACAGTGTCATCACCAGAAAAATTTAAAATTTAAAAAGCAAAATAAAATAAATAAATGACACACTTAGCAAGATTAATAAAACAAAACATGGAGTACAAAATCTATATTAATAAATAAATTAATATTATATGATAGATTCTATAGAAAACCTTTAAAACAATACTGAGAAAATTCAATTGGCACTTTTAGGACAAAATTTAAAAATAATTTTGATAAACATAAATTATATATCTAAATACCTATATCTATATCGATATAGAGATCCATTCATGGAGGACAAAATATATATTAAATATTATATGATAGAATTTTATAGAAAAAATTTAAAATAGTATTAAGAAAGTCACTTGGCACTTTTAGGACAAATCTAAAAATATTTTTGATAAATTTAAATTATATATCAATATATTTATATCTAAGATCCACTAATCAATTTATCTTCTATATTCACTAGAAATATAGAAGTGACATATTAATTAAAAAATTATACAAAGAAAAATTAAAACTATAGAAAGACGTAGATTAAGATAACTTATGACGATTTATATTTTGGGGAAAGACGTAGATTAAGATAACTTATGACGATTTATATTTTGGGGTAAGTAAATAATTCTTTTAAGATATTAAAGATTTGATGACTTTTAAAAATAAAAAAATTCCAAGCAACAACATAAGATCGTAAACAAAGCATCTATATTGTAGAGGTAATGTAAGGGTATTTTAATATAAAAAATATATTGACAAATTTAAATAATGCATGAATAATTTTTAGTAATAAAATTAAAGTGAATAAATTAAATTTTTCAGGAGCAGGAAAAATTTGTATTAGATTGTTTTATATTAAGCAAGGATATTTCGTCAAATGGTAAACTAGTTAAACATCAAAATTGAAAAATCATAAATAATGAATAATGCAATAATGACAAGTAATAGTAAATAAAAAAGAGAAAAAAACTAAAAAAATTGTAGAAGGATGAGACTTATTTAACTTTGATATGAGAAAGTGTCTTTCCAATTATGATGAGAAAAGTCAGATAATAGATAATACCACATAAATCTTATTAAAAGCAGAACCAAAATATATTTAACAATGAAAGAATTTCAAAGTAACGAGTAATTAAAGTTACTCACAAAAAAATACTAAAAAAATTTCTTATAAAAATATAGAGATAAAATTTATATGAATTTGAGATGAGAAAGTATCTTTTGAATTATGATGAAAATTCACACAATGAATTATATAACATATATGGCTAAAATCATAATCGATAAAGTCAACAAAAAAATATATAGAACAATAAGAGAAATGGCAAGCCAGCGGAGATACTAGAAAAGTTAAATAAGTTGGCTGGTTTTTCGCTGGATGAAAAAAAAATCAACTTTTCGAGGTTAATTGTTCTTCTTCCCTAGCAACAATTTTAGATCGATTCTAGCCGACCGAAAGGATCTTCTAATCAATTCAGAGATCATTTGGATTCCATTAGTAATGAGGATTCGGAATATCACGCATTAATCAATCAAAGAAAGATTCAACATTGAAAAGAAAGATTGATTCTTTGGGATCGTTCCTTTCATCAAACAGAACCAAAAGAGAATCAGGCCGGTTCTCGAAATGCGTTTCTAGATACTCAATGTCCTGGCTATTCACAGAACATGAGAAGCAGAAGATTAATTATCTGTTTTCGGAAAGAAATCAAAGAATTCAAATGGCAAACCATGTTGGAAAGCTTAAATAACTACCCTATCTAGGTTTGGATTGACAGAATACATGTATAAGCAGAAATGACTGGGAGTTATTGATAGGTTTGGAATTTTATTTTTTTGGTCTAGCTCTAGAGTCGAAACAAGCTTGCGGTTGTACATACTTATACTTGGTTAAATAAAATTTTGGTTGTTTAACCAAAACGTTAAAAAAAAAAAAAAAAGACAACTCTATGGAATTTATTTATATATTTTTGCTTTAATTCTTTTCAATGCGGTCGCTAAATTTAGCATGCAATATACATCTATTTTTATTAATTCTCTTTGCTCTTTTTTTATATTGAAACGACCGCACGGATATGTATACTAGTATCATAACAAAATGACAAGCTTCAGACGCATCTGAACAAACATGTCTAAACTTAACAAAGATCTTCTGCAACTTAAATCTAAACAATTTTGGGTTAATGGTTGCATCATTGAATGCATATCTTGACTGCAAAAAAATAAATGCAATAATAATCCAACTCCTTTGATGAAAGAGACACTTGGGATACCCAGCATTTTCCATTAAAAAGACAAGGTTTATTCATCCACAAGGAAAAATAATACAAGACATCTCATATTTCTAAGAAGCTGGGAAGAAGATTTCTCATATTCTCTTTTCCTCATATTCTTTTGACAAACTCATGTGTAACTTCCAATAACTTCATACAGATATTTGATCTGCACCCTAATATTCATTCTGCAGGCTGCAGCAACAACACGTTCATTAAGACTTTACGTTAGAGAGATTAATTAGCATCTCAATTTAGTTACATCCAAGTCAAACTTGCAGCAGTTCGATACCGAAGTTAACTCTGGAATCCCCGAGGCAGACCAGTTTAATCTGACCATTGCCTCTGCTGTAATCCATTGCAGACCTTTGCTCTTAACTCCAACTGCATACAGTCGATTCATCATACAATAAAAGTTTGTTCGCCCCTGAAGTCGGATTCAAACGTAGTAAGCAGTAGAATTCATCTCGAAACAACAAGACATATGTGATAGAAGAAAAGTAAATGTACTTGGAAAAAGGAACAGTAATAGAGGAAACTGGAGTTGAAAGAGATATATATTTCTTCGTATAATTTTGCATGGCAAGGAAGGCATCTTTGAAAGTTGGAGAGCTCTAGAACAAACTCTGGAGACTATTATACTTATTACTTTGACACTACCACTATTCACAAAGAAGGGGAGCCTTGGCATAACTGGTAAAGTTGCTGCCATGTGACCAAGAGGTCACGGGTTCAAGCCGTGGAAACAGCCTCTTGCAGAAATGCAGAGTAAGGCTGCGTACAATAGACCCTTGTGGTCCGGCCCTTCTCCGGACCCCGCGCATAGCGCCAGCTTAGTGCACGGGCTACCCTTTTTCTTTAACTATTCAGATAATGCATGTTATGCATTTATGTTCAATTAATCAAGTTATAGTCAGTTCGTTCAGGCCCAAAAAAGCAATTGAACAGATTATCCAAATCTAAGCAACACTGTCCCACTGATCCTCAAAGAAGATTAATATATGAAGCCGACGATAAACAGCTACACATTTCTGACCTTCTTTATCAAAGAATTAGCCCTTGGAAATAAATAGTTCAACCCAAGTGACAGCAGATATCCTGGAGAACTAGGCAAAAAATTCTAAGACAACATCCTATACTAGTAACTCATTTTCATTGCATCCTAGTCTACACATCATTCTTGCTCAATCACAGAGATCCTTCCTTTCAAACTTCAGTGGAGTTGGAGGTAGTTTCTACATAGAAGCATGTAACCCTACTTAGCAAAATAAGCAGCTTTAAAAACTTTTACCTCGTAGGCTCATACATGGATTCATTTCCTAGAATTAATGCTTAGTCTACTTATACAATATTTTCAGAGACACGGTAGAAAATGGCAAGTGCATGAAATGATGTGACTTAAATTAAACGCTATGAAATGATGTGATTTAATCGATCCAACTTAAACAAGATTTCATGATATTAAACAAGTTCATCACATATGACATATTAAAGCACATATAACATAATCTTCTTCCATGCTCAGTCAGAAAAAAAATAGATAAGCATGGGCCAAAAGGATGTTGAGAGAAGAGTTAAAAAAGAAGAAAACGCGCGACCACTAGGATAATTAACTACTTATTTTCATCTAGTTTGGTGTTCCCTGGTACAGCATTGTCCTGGTAATATCTTTAGTAAGACATCATCTACTACCTACTCTGAATCTTTGGGTCTGCATGCTATTATTTTTCGAATAATGATATCACATAGTGCAAGACTTACCATCTCAGAGAGAAAAGTATTAGCAGCCTAAACAGGTCAGCCAACCTCTGCTACAATTTCTTTTACATCTATATCAGCTAGAGTCTCCTTTCCAAACAGCAAAAATCCAACAGTTGCCTGCAAGAGTTAACTCCACATTCAATCTCAAGAACAATTTTTTTTTTCATATAGCGAATGGAAGAAAGTCACATACAGAATATACCGAGAGCAATTAGCATCAATAAGTTTTCGACTTGTGCAGGGAATAACCAATTTGGGGAGCTTTTTCTATCATATCTTTTATCTTTTTGCATTATCAGGGTGGAAGAGGCCCAAGGAAGTTGGGGGCAGGAGTGTGGTGTTAGGGAAGAGTGAAGACATACAACAACAACAACAACAACAACGACCCAGTGAAATCCCACTAGTGGGGTCTGGGGAGGGTAGTGTGTACGTAGACCTTACCCCTACCCCGAGGGGTAGATAGGCTGTTTCCGAAAGACCCTCGGCTCAAGGAAGAGTGAAGACATAGTGTGCGGATAACTCAATTCTTCTCCTTTTTTGTGCGCTGAGCTCCAGGATTTTTATAACAATGATTTCCATTCCCCCCTCTCTCCACACCCCAAAATAACATAAGGATAGCATTCATGGAAGTTTCAATTGGAAGGAAAAGGGCATACCAATCCTGCGTTGCTATCAACCTTCTTAAGGATCCCTGAAAATCCAGCAAAGGCTCCAGACACAACTTGAATAGTTGATCCTGGGATTAAAGATTTATCATCCGAGCCTCTTAAGTCATCACCTGCAACTGCAAGCAGGTCTGAAGCTTTTTTGGATTTCCTTCCTTGTTTTTTGGGCATAACTTTGCCGTCAGCGGGAGCTTTACTAGTATCTTTTGTCAGCTTGAAATCTAAACCTCCTTCTCCTTGTTCCTCTTCTTCAAAAGCTTGATCAGCTTTCTCTTGCTCTTCCTTCGCTTGTTTGAATATGGCTTCCAAGTCATCCTCATCTACAGGTCTGGGTTTATTGATTTGCCGTTTTCTGCAAATATTTTAAACTTTAAGGTACTGAGAATATGATCTAGGATACCTAATAAGTTAGCCCTTTAAATAATGAAATGGGCACGTAGACACAAGTTAACATAAAACTCATATAAAGGGAGGCCAAAAGGTAGATGTCAACCAAAGGCAGCCAACTAGTTTACAAACTATACAAAGTTAGATTGGGAGTGACTTTTAAGTAAAAATTTCTGATCTTACGCAAAGTTAGCTTAGGATATTTCATTCATGTAAACTTCCATTAACATAGGCCAATTGGGGCAGACGCATACATTGCGGTTCCTTATTTGTCAAAATAAGACAGTTCCATGTTGCCTAAGTAAATTGCATCAATATATCAAACAAATCGAAGACAGGGCCTCTTTCTTGACCAAGTACAACAATAACAACAACGACCCAGTAAAATCCCACTAAGTGGGGTCTGGGGAGGGTAGTGTGTACGCAGACCTTACCCCTACCCCGATAGGGCAGAGAGGCTGTTTCCGATAGACCCTCGGCTCAGGAAGATGGCAATAAAACAAGAAAAGACAATTCATCAGTATCGTCAACATAACCATAGAAATAGTGACAGCATCCTAAAAACCATAATCTTTCTTGACCAAGTAATACTTGTAAAATTGTGAATAGTGATAGGGTCACAGGGACAACTTCGAATGCTTACGTATTTCCAACCTTGGATCCAACAAAGCCTCCAATTCCATCACATTCTCGAATGAAATCATGTATTTCTTTGTTCAGTACACACCTCAAAAACACACACCCCGGAAAAAGAGGTTTCGGTTTAACTGAAAGTGATCCGTTCTTTAATTTCCTTTTGACCTGTACAGATGGAATGTATACCTGCAGAAATTTTACAGTTAGTCAAAACATATTGACAAATAAGTTCCTTCATCAGTAAAAAGACTTAATCCCCTTCCAGCGTTGGAGCAGAATCAACTCTGATTTCAAGCAAACTGACCCACAATAAAAGAACTATGATTTCAAACAAAGAAAATCAGTGGTGGAAACTGAGATGAAAGTTGGGGCTAATTTTCTTTAGAGGAAAATTTCTACAGAAATAGAAAAACTGAGACACATGTTTATTCTATATGATATGGTTATCTACAGGTCCATAGCTTACATTCTGATACACCAGAAAAATTCTTTGCAGTTCCTTGTAAACAGGAAATTATGCAAGCTTTAGAATTATGAATATTGCTATAAAAGCTTCACAAGCAAGCTTCTCTCAAGCCCTCACCTTTTGATAAAAAATGAATACTTTTATAAAGGCAAAAGAATTGGTAAGATGATTCTTCCCATCTGTCTAAGCCTTGGTGGATAGAGTTACTTGTATCTGTGTTGGTGGAAAGTAGTAGGTATTGGTGGATTAACTGAGATGCGTACAAGCTGACCCCGGCACCACCATTATGCGAAGAAAAAATGAATACTACAAAGGCACACAGTTCAGTTGCCTTGCTACTTTCTTTCCTCAACTATATTTTTCTCTAGTTATACTTAAACGCATTCTTGCAGAAACCTATAACATCCTAATTTCATGAACCTCCATAATTCTTAATGCTTGGACATCTTTTCACGTTCTTTATGTTCCTGTTAATGAAGGGAATGTATTTCACGACTGAATTGAGCCAATTGTGCTTGTTGGAGCTAAATTATGTACAAACTATAGTCTAATGGTCCCTATTAATTGTTGGAAACTACATAGGCAGCTAGACCTTTAAGATTTTCACCTTGAACTTTGACATCAGCTAGACCTTTAAGACAGAGGGATCCACTTAGATCATTTTGTAACTTCAGGAGTGTTGCAATTCGGGGGGAAAAACAGAACCCGTCTTGCAATTTTTAAGATATTGGACCAGGATAAATTAAGAAACTTCAGCAAGAATGATTTGATCAACTAACCAACATCAATAATTTGTTGCTTAACAAGCCTATTACTCCATCAAATACTCTACTTCAATCTTTTTTTTTATAAGATGAAAATACTACTATAATCATACAAGATAAAGACTATATAGAACGATCATAGGGTGCAGATGTATCCTCTTTAATTAGACTCTTTACCTTGAACGTGTTAGCAAATCCATTAATAATGGTAACATGTAGCCTACTTTTTAACTGAAAATCTAAAGCATAAATCCTTAGTGTGGGTTTTGAGAAGCAATGCCAAAGCTTCCAATAAGCATACACAATCAATCAACCGCTTTAATCCAAAATAAAGTTGGAGTCCACTATATGATTTGTCTATAACAGTTCCACTCTATCTGAGTCCAAATTATTCATATGCTACTTCTCTAATCAGTAGTTTTTAAACAAGGTTTTCTAAATTTCACACTTATCACTGCATATACCACAAAAGTAAAGACCAAAACACCAAATTATAAACTTCACCATCAAAACAAACCATAAAGATCAAATCTTTATCTACCTGAAAATCTATATTTGGAAAGTTCCGGGCAAGAGCGCGGGCCATTCGTTCAGCAGTTTCATGACCAGTAACTCTGGATACTCTAACAACCCACCATTGAGGACCCAATTTAGCAAGGTTATCAAGATTAAGCTCTTCAGTCCAAGACTTATATTGCTTCTTGGGTTTCTTAATTAGCCTTTCTTCTACTTCTTCTTTCCAATTATAACCTGTTTTGCTCTCTCTTCTCTCATTCCTCATTTGCCTTCTTTCTTTAGCAGTTAGAAGGTTCTCTTTAGGTGATGACTCTACAGTTGCATATACCCTTAAGGATATGGTTATCTGGGGTTTGGGGAAAGTGGAGGTTGGTGATAGTTTGGGAAGAAATAGAGGAGGGTGACTCCATGAGAGAATAGCTTGCTTCATCTTCCTCAGAAGAAATTCTGATACGTCTTGTGGTGGTTATACGATGACATATCCAGTTTTCTTCCTTGCACGTTAATGGGCTAGTCTGGCCCATTTTGTTATTTAAGCTGAGTGGGTGATGGCCCAATCCAACGGCCAGTATAGGAATGGCAGGTAAAAATAGCACGGTCTAGCCAGTTTTTGGACTGGTCATTCAAAAATAACCAGCGTTTATCAAGTTAATGAAAAATAGTCACTATTTTGCTGCAACAGAGACCGGTCCAGCATAATATACTGGAGTTCGGTGCACTCGTGTATGCACTTCCAGCATATTATGCTGGAACTCCAACACACGGAAAGTTCCAGCATAATATACTGGAGATTCGAGCGCTTGTGTATGAACTTCCAGCATATTATACTGGACTGGTATACTTTGCTAGAACTCTAATATATTATGCTGGAGTTCTAGTGTATTTATACTGGAACTCCATCATATTATGCTGGAGTTCCAGCATACTTATCCTGGAACTCCAGTATAATATGCTGGAGTTCAAGTATACTTATGCTGTAACTCCAGCATAATATACTGGCGTATTTTCCGAGTTTTGAACAGTGTTTTCGCTCAGATTTATCTTTACATGAAAAGTGGCTAAATTTCGATTACTTTTGAAACTGGGCTATTTTTGAACAACCACTTATAAATCTGGCTATTTTTGAATTTCTCTCGGGGCGGGGCGGTTGTGGTGCACGTTAAAAATTGTGTGGGATAGCCACTTTTTAAATTGGTATTTACTTTTTATCCAGCATTTTTAATGCTGAGCAAAAGTAGCCACTAGTCTATTAAAATTAATATGAAAAGATAGTATTACCCTTTCCTTCCCAAACGAAAATACGCCATTTTCATCCTTACATCTCATGAACTCTTCTACTTGTTCCTTTTTCACTTTCTTTCTTCCATTCCCTTTCGTTCAATAAATGAGGAATATTATTCTTAATATACGCCATTTCAGATTCTTCATCTTTATCTTCTCCCAACTTGTCACAATTAATAGTCAACAGCTGCACTTTGTTTAGGCACCATATTCCAGAGTTATTACTTAATTAGAACTCAATTTATCTTCTTTTCTCCCAGCAGCAGCACGTAAACCCATCTTCTTTGTTTACAAATTGAAATTCCTATAAGACACTATCGCCACATATGTTATTTTGTATTTAGCCCTTAACTTAGAGTTACAAGCACAGAAATTAAGGACACTTGGTCCTGAACTTCGAGTTCTAAGTTCAAAAGTTAAGGACACTTGCTCATGAACTTAGAATTACAAGCTCAAAAGTTAAGGATATTTGGTCCTGAACTTAGACTAACAAGCTCAAAAGTTAAGGACAACAGGTTCTGAACTTACAGTTACAAGTTCAAAAGTTAAGGACAATAGGTCCTAAAGTCCTTAACTTAGACTAACAAGCTCAAAAGTTAAGGACAATAGGTCCTGAACTTAGGCTAAGAAACCCAAAAGTTAAGGACAATAGGTCCTGAACTTAGACTAACAAGCTCAAAAGTTAAGGACACTTGGTACTGAACTTACAGTTACAAATTCAAAAGTTAAGGACATTTGGTCCTGAACTTAGACTAACAAGCTCAAAAGTTAAGGACAATAGGTCCTGAACTTAGACTTACAAGTTCAAAAGTTAAGGACAAGTAGTCCTAACTTAGAGTTACAAGCACGGAACTTAAGGACTGGTGGTCCTGAACTTCGAGTTCCAAGTTCAAAAGTTAAGGACATGTAGTCCTGAAGTCCTGAGCTTAGAATTGCAAGTTCAAAAGTTAAGGACATGTAGTCCTGAAGTCCTGAACTTAGAGTTAAGTTCAAAAGTTAAGGACACTTGGTCCTGAACTTTTATGAGCAGAAGGGTGTTTTCGCCCGGGCAGGTAAAGTTTATTAAAGCAGTTGCTAAAGACTAAAGACATTTTAAACAGTGGCTTAAAAGTAAATACATGTGTTATTAGTGGCCAATCATGCACTTCCCTCTGGTGCAGGTTCAACCTAAACCCGTGATGATTCAAGCATGCATCAAAAGTTAAAGATCATCCCCAAAAGTATCATTTTTCTACAATGTTTGGCATCCCACAATTAGGGGCAAAGTGCACAAATAGTCGCTTTTAGGGGCGAAGGGTATCTGAAATTTGCTAGTCTTTAAACCATTTTAAAATCAAAAACGCCAAAATCAAACAAAAATTTGAACTCTGACATTCAAAATTTCAGATTCGAAAGCCTGAAGTTTGAATTTTACAGTTCAATTAGTTATTCGGGGTTCGAAGAAGGTCTCAAATTAGTCAAACTTTTACGGGTGTCCTATTTGGTTGCCCCTATATTTAACATGTACCCATTTCTTAAAAAAAGTTTAATTAGTATCCAAATTAAAGACAAATTCAGGCTTTTTCCTCCTCTTCCTTCTTCTTCTTCTTCTTCTTCTTCTTCTTCTTCTTCTTCTTCTTCTTCTTCTTCTTATGATGATGATGATAATGATAATAAAAATAATGGTGGCGATGAATTTACATGGTGTTTCTGGTTCTAAGGTGATTTATGATATTTTATAATAGTAAGTTGTTGTGGCGCTCCTTTCTTTGCTACCGCTTAGGGTTTCTTCTTCTTCTTCTTCTTACCACTGAACCTTCGCTAATGCAATGCTCTTTGACCTCAGCTTTCGAACTTGCCCGTCCAAAATAGCCACCGGCTCCTCAACATAAGATAGATCCTTGTCCAACTGAACCGAGCTGAAATCCAACACATAGGACAGATCCCCGTGATACTTCTGAAGCATAGAAACATGAAATACCGGATGAACTCTTGCTAGGCTGGGAGGTAAGGCAAGCTCATAGGCAACCTCCCTAACTCGCTGCAACACCTGAAACGGACCAATAAACCTTGGGCTCAGCTTGCCCTTCTTTTCGAACCTCATAACGCCCTTCATAGGCAAAACCCGGAGCAAGACCCACTCTCCAACCATGAATGCGACATCGCTAACCTTCCGGTCCGCATAACTCTTCTTTCTGGACTGGGCTGTGCGAAGACTATCCTGAATCACCTTAACCTTCTCCAAGACATCCTAAACCAAGTCCGTGCCCAATAATCTAGCCTCGCCAGGCTCGAACCAACCCCTGGAGACCGACATTGCCTACCATACAGAGCCTCATATAGTGCCATCTGGATGCTGGACTGATAAGTTTTGTTGTAGGCAAACTCCGCAAGTGGTAAGAACTGATCCCAAGAACCTCCAAATCCATCACACACGCACGGAGCATATCCTCTAAAATTTGAATAGTGCGCTCGGACTATCCGTCCGTCTAAGGGTGAAATGCTGTGCTCAGCTCCACTCGAGTACCCAACTCCCTCCAGAACCGTGATATAAACAGCGTACCCCGGTCAGAGATGATAAATACCGGCATGCCATGAAGCCTTAAAATCTCACAGATATAAACTCGAGCCAGCTGCTCGAAGAATAAGTAGTCATCACAGGAATGAAATGAGCTGACTTGGTCAGCCTATCCACAATCACTCAAACTGCATCAAATTTCCGCTGTGTTCGTGGAAGCCCAACAACGAAATCCATAGTGATCCGCTCCCATTTCCACTATGGAATCTCTAACTTCTGAAGCAATCCACCTGCCCGCTGATGCTCATGCTTCACCTACTGGCAATTTAGGCACCAAGCTACATATTCCACCATGTCATTCTTCATTATCCTCCACCAATAATGCTGCCTCAAGTCCTGATACATCTTCGTGGCACCCGGATGAATGGAGTACTGCGAACTATGAGCCTCCTAGAGAATCAACTCGCGCAAACCAACTACATTGGGCACACATAGCTTGCCCTGCATCTTTAATGCACCATCATCCACAATAGTGACCTCCTTAGCATCACCGTGCTGAACCGTGTCCTTAAGGACAAGCAGATGTGGTTCATCATATTGACGCTCCCTGATACGATCATAAAGAGAAGACTGAGAGACCACGCAAGCCAAAACTCGACTCAGCTTAGAAATATCCAATCTAACAAACTGGTTGGCCAAGGCCTGAACATCCAATGCCAATGGCCTCTCTGCTGTTGGTAAATTGCCAAGCTCCCCAAACTCTTCGCCCGGCGACTCAAGGCATTGGCCACCACATTGGCCTTTCCGGGATGGTACAAAATGGTAATATCATAGTCTTTAAGCAGCTCTAACCACCTCCGCTAATGCAAGTTAAGATCCTTCTGCTTGAATAAATGTTGCAAACTCCAGTGATCAATGTAGATCTCACAAGGGACACCGTACAAATAGTGCCTCCCAATCTTCAAGGCATGGACAATAGCTGCTAACTCAAGGTCGTGGACAAGATAGTTCTTCTCATGCACCTTCAGTTGTCTGGACGCGTAGGCAATCACCCTACGATCCTGCATCAACACCGCGCCGAGACCAACCCGCGACGCATCACAATATACAGTATAAGACCCCGAACTGGAAGGCAATACCAATACTAGGGTTGTAGTCAAATCTGTCTTCTCACACTCCTCTGTCCATCTGAACAGAGCACCCTTCTGGGTCAGCCTGGTCATAGGTGCTACAATAGATGAGAATCTCTCAACAAATCGACGGTAATACCCCCCCCCCCAACCCAAGAAAACTCCGGATCTCCGTACCTGAGGATGGTCTGGGCCAACTCTGCACTGCTTCCACTTTCTTCGGATCCACCTTGATCCCATCACTCGATACTACATGACCCAAGAATGCCACGGAATCTAACCAAAACTCACATTTTGAGAAATTTGCATATAATTTCTTCTCTCTCAAGGTCTGAAGCACAATCCTCAGGTACTGCTCCTGATCCTCCCGACTCTGAGAGTACACTAGAATGTTATCAATAAACACAATGACGAAGGAGTCAAGATAGGGCCGAAATACACTGTGCATTAAATGCATAAATACTGTTGGGGCGTTGGTCAGCCCAAATGACATCACAAGGAACACGTAGTAACCATACCAAGTCCTGAAAGCAGTCTTCGAGATATCTAGCTCCCGAATCTTCAACTGATGAT